GAAGGAAGGAAGGAAGGAAGGAAGGAAGGAAGGAAGGAAGGAAGGAAAAAGAAGTGTTATTCAGACAAAAGAGAACAAGTTAACCAAATTCCTCTGAATTTAAAGTCTGAGCCATGTGCTGCATCGAATGGAAGATCACTCCCCAGGAATGAACTGCTTTTCCTTGGCTTCTAGCCCATGCCACCTGTCCAGCTCTGCCTAGGTAGTGCAGCACAATGCTAGCAAGCATTGGCTCTGTGACTTGGACCTGGGCCAGGCAGGGAGATGGCCTGTTAGTAGCTGTCACTCACATGACTGAGTTGGTTGTGTGGCTGTACGAGAGGATTTGGCAATGGAAGACTTCTGCCAAGATTTCCTGCATGACAGCATCTCTATACAGCAGAGCACAGCCTGACCGAGCTTCTTCCTGCACTTCCTAAAAGCTGGCTGCAAAGGTAAGGAGTTGTGACATTTCCAGACTGCCCTATTTGGAGGTCTCTGCAAACACAAGCTGCTCCCTGTCAGAGTGCTGCAGGCTGCATGTTAACAGCATGCAGGTACTGGCACAGAAAGGGAGAGAGTGGGGCTCTGGCACCAGTTTTACCCTCACAAGGTGGCCTGCCCCTGTGCATGAAGAGGGCTGTGCTCCCAGAATATGCCTCACTGTCATTTCTTCTCACTCAACTTCCCTGGAAAGCCATGCAGGGAATCATCATCACTCAGCAGGCTTAAAACAAGCCCAAAGCATCAAAAACAAATGAGAAAAATGGCTCAAGGCAAAGGTTGAAATAACAACAAAGGTAGTACTGAAGAAAGGTGAGATGATGGTGGAAAAATGCTTTATGATAAATGCACAAAACTCTTTAGGCTTGTAGCTTCTGCTCCTGCCATAAACTCCACTGGAGAAGGTATTCTAGATTTTATTGTCTCCATCCTCCCCTGCGAAATGAATGTGATTTTCTCCTTGGGTTTCTCTCCTTGAGGACAATGTCAGCCCATCAGCTTGTCTTTGGTAAGGTACCTGGATAAAGGTCCTGGAGTCAAAGGCAACATTTCCTATCTTTGGAGGGATTACTGTGGCTTTTCTGAAGCACCTTTTCTTTCCCAACAGCTTTCTTGAACTGTGATGACCAGCACATGGTGCAGTATTCCAGCACAGATACCTGCCTGTCATTAATACCAGCTCACTCTTGTTCCTCTTCCTTCTCTTTCTCTTCAGGCCATTGTCTTGGAGGACAGTGAGTTTATCTTCTAGACTAAAATCACCCATGGATGCCTGCTTCTAGAGATCACTGCTTTTCAGGAGAGCTAGAGGTCCTTGGAGGAAACAGTGAATTATTTCCCTTTACATTCCCCATCTCCATTTTGCAGTCTGTCAGGTTTAAATCTGCTTCATCCACACCACGCTTATCCTGCTTTGTTCTAAATTCCTCCTCAAAATGACAGTCAGTATCTATTCAAATGCTTCATATGGCAATCTTGTTATCATTATCAACCAAACGTGTAATTTTCTCCTCCTCTCCTCTCCCCAAAAGTATATGATCTTAGTTTATTAGATTCTATTTCTATAAAACAAGCCATGGTATGAGGTACAATAAAAATATAGAGAAAGGTGATGAGGCATCTTATTGCCACCTCTGAATTCTGATTGGATTCCCAGGTAGGCAAGATATTTAGCCATCAGAAAGACTAAGCATGTTAATCCCTCTTAAAATCTTGGCTGCCAAAGCAGAGGTGAACGCTGGAGGCTCTTCTAAGGGCATAATACTGTTGAACTTAACAGGAATGTAACTTCTTGTGATTTCCTTGTGTACTTTTAGTTAGAAACTCCTGACAGGATGCTTATGTCTGAATTCATCTACTGGAGAAGAAGTGATTATTGGAAATGTAAAGATGATGGTTTCACATTACAGTGTATGTGTAAGTCCTTTATTGAGACTTGAGATCTTTAAGATCCTCTCAAAGGTAATCAATGGCACTTTAGTACCCTTTGAAGCTTTTATTCGCAACACTTGCGTGCTACTTTGTGCCACATTGACTTAACTATTTTCCTCCAATTTAAAAAAAAAATAAAAAAATTACTCCAGATCTGCATTTAAGATGCTGTAAACGTGGTGGGTGATCTGTCAACCTCTCTCACACAGTGCATCAGGTGCTGCCTTTCTACGGTAAAACCTGGGGTCATCATCACATTTTCATATACCGCAGAACAGCAGTGGGCTGATTGATTGTTTTACTTTGTGCTAGCCATTCTGAGAGCTTGTCCACTGCATCTTCAAAGAGCTCAGCAGGACTGGGATTGACTTACTGAGTTACAGTGCTCGAAAATACCTGATGAAGCTCTAATGTAAACGGGGCTGCACAGCTCTGAATGTGCTATATTGTATACGCCTCATGAATGAGAGCTGGATGCTCTTTAAAAATGTGATTTGCAAATTTTAAGTCTTCACAGATGTTTAGAGGTTGATTTGGGACCTTAAATAGGCTGCTTCTTTTTTTCCCCCCCCCCGACTACAATTTTAATCTTGCACAGCCATATGAGCTATCAGTGTCAGAAACAGCTGCTTTGGTCCAGCCCATAATATCTTTCCTGAGAAGGAAGAACTGTCACAAACAACCTGTAAGAGATGTTAGTCACGTTCCTTGTGTAATACTGGAAGCATCCAGTTATTATGCTGGTGAAAATGGTGTGAGAGTCAATTTAGAACAAAATAAAATAGCTATGTGCAAGATCTTTGAAGAAGAGACTGTAAATGTGCAACATGAAACAAGGAAATTGTTTCAGCTTCCTTATGATTTTAAGTCATATTTCATTTACTCTGCTACCATTGCTATCACAGCAATAAGAACATTATAAAGGCTGTCAGTAGGAGCTGAGATGGCACCATACCTCAAGACTCACTTTTCATAATCTCTAAACCTGCACTGTCCTCAAGAAATCTTATATCCCTTTAAAACTATAGGATCATTAATGTTGGAAAAGACCTCTAAGATCACTGAATCCAATCCCAGCCCCCCCCCACCCCCCATGCCCACTGACCACGTCTCTGAGCGCCACATCCCCACGGCTCTTGAACACCTCCAGCAATGGTGACACCACCAACTCCCAAGCAGCTGCGCCACTGCATCACCATTCTTTAGGAGAATAATTTTTCTGAACCTTCCCTGGCGCAACTTGAGGCCCTCACTTCTTGTCCTATCACTGTCACATGGGAGCAGCAGCCAACCCCCACTTTGTCACAGCCTTCTTTCATGCAGTTGCAGAGAGCAGTAAGGTCTCCCCTGAGCCTCCTCTTCTCCAGGCTGAACCACCCCTGTTCCCTCAGCCGCTGCCCGTAAGATTTGTGCTCCAGACCCTTTACAGCTTTGCTGCCCTTCTCTGGATGCACTCCAGGGCCTCTGTGCCTTTCTTGAAAGGAAGGGCTCCATCCCAGAATCAACCACTCTGGTTTTTCCTTTTTTTCTTTTTTCTTCTTTTTTTTTTTGTCATATCACTCTCTGCAGTGCTTAATAACCTCATGCTTTTCTGTTGATTTCTTTCTATGGCAGAAGTCAGAGGCATTTACATTTCATGGATATAAATTGCCAAACTACACCTTTGAAAATATATCAAAAACTATAATTTATTCATCTGCCTAAGAGATGCCATGAATCTCTCGTTCTTCCATACCTTAAATTCAGCAAAGCTCTTCTGCAGGCAGTTTTCCTTGTAGCTCAGCCTTATTTCAAAGGAAAGCATCTTCCCAAGCACAGCGTTGTGCCCCACCTGTGAGAAAGACCAGAAAGAGTTCAGGGATCAGCACCCCAGGATCATGCATGACCCATGTTGGAGTTGGCAATGCTATTCCCTGTGACTGGGAGCACAAAAAATTTGAAGCGAGGCGTGAAATATTTAACCAGGCTGCCACTATGTAAAAATGATAGAGTGGGGCCTGAGCAGAACATCTGTCAGCGAGGTGGCAGCTGGCGGAGCCCGGCAAGGATTTCCTGGAGAGAAATGGGGCATAACTTACTAATAGTTGCAATGCTGAGCTGTGTGGGAGGGCGAGGGAAGCATGTGTGAGTGAGCGTGAAGAGCAAGAAGAACAAATGCCCTGAGGAACCTCATTTGGAAGGGCAAACATGAGTGCTGCAGCATGAGAGAGGGTTGATACAGATGAGAGCAGGAGTGTGTGCACCTAGAAGGGTGATTCCTCATTGCCCAGAGGTTCTTACTACCCTGGTTCTGGCAATGAAAGATGATCCTAGACCTCCTTCCTTGTAGATTTTTGTAGGTGCAGATGTCTAGCTGTGGAGAAGGAGAAGCCCCAGGCTTTTTAAGAAAGGGAGACAAAGAGCAAGCTGATGATTTTCCTTGGTAGTTCCACTGCAAATGGAAAGGCATTCAGGGCACAGCCTAGCAAAAAGCAAGAGCTTTTGAGTTTAAACATCATCCAGCATGGTATGGGGGGAGGTAGGGACGATACTACTCTTCTTTCTGCACATGTACTTTCAAAGAAGGTCCAGCTGATCTTCCCCAGGGCAGACAGTGAGTGGCCCATTGCTGGCTTGCTCCTTGGTCCCGCAAACAGCCCACTTCTCCCTGCACTGAACTCATGGTAGGATGTCTATGGGAAGGGACATAAGCAGCCACTTACACTCAGCAGGTATTACACAGCTCTAGGTCATCCCCTCCAGGGCAAAGGGAGGTGAGACTGGGGGAAGAACGGGCGCTAGAGAGAGGGTGAAACCACATCTGAGAGGGAGCTGACTGTGGCTGCTGAGGAGGGGTGCCTGGAGTGACCTTCAGGGATGAGATGCAAAGGTTAAGAAATGCAGTAATTAATTTCCCCACCGTTACCACTGCCCTCCTGCAGATACTACTGCTGTCTGCTGAGTTTAGCACTGGTTTACGAAAAACTATTTCCACTTTTTGCACTAAGGCAGAGAACGCCAGGCACTGGCAGATTTATCCATGGCCCAGGGTACTGGAAAGGGTTAATCAGCCAGGGTACATGGTTAAGAGCATGAGTGTGGGAGACAATGAGAGAACAGAGTTGGACTCAACTTTGCATTCTCCCCCACACTCATTTTGGAGGGTGTTTCAGGGACAGGCTGTGAGGAATGCACACTATCTAATCTGCATGTATAATGTAAATATGCACATTTTTATTTGCTCTCTCCATCTGCAGGGAACTTGCTGGCATCAGAGTGGCCATGTGGTCTCATAGCAAAGTTTCCTTGCAAAAAGAAAGGAGGGGACTTAGCAAGGCTGCTTGCTCTTCACTTCATGTGCACATTGTGCAAATGAGTGCACTCAGACCATCTTACTTGCACTTTCATGTGTTTGCTCTTTGCTCCTAGGGTCTTTAAATAAAGGTTGGATCAGTCTCCTTACATTTGACTGAATGGGAAAATCAGGGTGGAGGGTGGGAAAGAGAAAAAATTACACCTGGCCACTCTTAAATGATAATTTCTAATCTCTTTGTCCAGCTAAGCAAGAAATAATTAATATGGGGTAAACTGCTTTAGTCTTTTGGCATACCAAATATTAAGTGGAGGTAAAATCAAAAATGCTAAGTTTTTTTTCAGGCTGAGAAAATCAAAATGTTTCATCTGAGATCATCAAAATAAAGCTTCCAGGCTGTATTTTTGGCCGTTTTTCTTTTCCTGATTGCATTTGAAGCAAGTTGACTAATTTGCAGATTCACTAAACCAGCCTGATTCTGCATTTTTGCTGAAGAATAATTTCCGCCAAGAGCTTTTCACCAGCTTCATTGTGGCCTTCTGAACAATGATGCTTGCACTGACTGGGGAGCACCACCAGCAGCTGGAGTCACTTGCCCTGTCATCAATAGCCTGCAGTGCTCAAAGTCCTGCGTGCCCTATTAATTGTCTGTCTCCTGACTGGCTGAAATATCTGACTTTGTTGTGTTAAACTTGCAATTTGATGACTTCAAATCAGGGAGAGGTGTTGCTGTGCAGGAGCTAAGGGTGTAACAGCACAGAAATTTGCACAAAATCACCAGGATCTAATAAAAAAGTTCCTTTATAATGTCTTCCAAGAATCTACTTCTGCCTGTCTGTTTTTGTTTTTGTTTTTAAGGGCATGACTGACTAAGAAGTGTTTTTAATCTATTTTCCATATTGTTCCACAGCATGCATGTGTATGTGTGCAAGGTATTTGTGTGTATGTGGTTGTGACAGTATAAATATTAATAGCACAAGGGTGAGAATACATGTGGCCCTCAAATGAGGTTATATAAACACACAGCTGCTGTGCTATTTGTAAATTTATAAAGACACGTTTCCATCAAGAGTGTGAAAGTCAAATAAGCATGTAGAGAGAGAGAGCACATATGCTTCATAAACTGTGCAGGAAGCCTATAGGAATTACATGGTGCTGCTTAAATCATGGTCCCACTGAGGTCAACTGGAGCCACGTCACTGACTTCACTGGGATCAAGACTTGGCACAATGCACTTGCTGTGATTTCCTTGGGTAAACCAGATCAAGCTACTGGAAAAAGCAAAGATCACAGTCCTATCACAGTAGCAAAAGAGCTGCTCCCTAGTGGCTGCCTGACATCTGAGCCAGATGGGGACAATGCAGCCACGTAGCAGCCACAGCAGATAACCTCCACTCTGGCTTCTCACAGACTCTGCTGCTGTTGAGAGAACAGAATCTGGATAGGATGCTGCACAGGGAGCTCTGCAGCTGCCTCCCTGCATTCCCCTAAGCACTGAGCTGTGCTAGAGAGATGCAGTGGTGGTACATCAGCCAGGCCAACAAAAGAGCATCGCTTGTGTATTTGGAAGGGTGATATGTTGACAGCACGCGGGGCAGATATGTGAACTGCCACACAGTTCCATTGTTGTGGCTTCAGCAGCTGCTTGCACTCACACTTTCCCCAGGGAGGTTTTATAGTTACTGTCAAACCTCATTCTGGATGACAGAATTTGATGGGTTTCATCCCAGAGACAAGGTGGAGCACAAAATGAGATGAGTCAGAGGCAGGAAGGTTTCAACTATGTGTAGAAATTATTTGGCCAGAGAAACGGATTAAGAAATTTATAAAGCCTCATCTTCTCCTTGTGCAGTATTACATTTCTCCTACTGCAGAAGGTGATACTCAGAGCCCAGCAGCAAGTCTAGGATCCTTCTTTGAGCTCACAGAATGATCTTGGCAATGACAGCAGCATTTGAGTCAGGGACATCTTCCCTAGAGGCTATTCTCAGCCTGCTGCATCAGAGCAAGTCCATGCCCAACTCAGAAAAAGGCCCTGCAGTGTTGGTATACATTCTGTACTCCTCAAGTTATGGAAGAATTGGAGTTATGTGAAACCATACCCTACATTTCCACAGCCTTCCTGGGGCAGCCTCCCTCATGGAGAATGAACGGTTCTTTTTTGGTACAGTGTTGGGCCAGAACTCTTGAGAACCAGTGAAGAGAAATAGGTAGGGCCAGGTGGCAGCTCAGACCTTAGGTGAGCTAAGGAAGGTGGGCTGAATTTGATTCTGCCTTTGGCTGGGAAAGCTTACCTTCTAATGTCTGACTTACATTGTCCTCAGTGGAGGGGATCCATGTGGGGGAGTAATTTTGCAGCAGGTTGGGTTGTGTGTACTGCAGTGCTGCACACTAACCACCCTCTGTGGTCAAGACCCGATACTGAAATGAGAATAACAGCTTTTCAGGTAATTGAATTTTCGGTTCACTAGCAGTAACACTTCTTTTCTGTATTGTTTTTGACTAGTTGTTTTCAAGCTGAAAGTTAAAGAAAAAAAATGGCCTTAGTTTGATCAAGACCCTTTTTGTCCCTTTGTAACAGGTAAAAGCTGGGTTTTGAGCACAACTTTAAAAATTAAATGTAAGGTGATTTCAAATTAAACTAAATATACAATGGAAAGAACAAAATATTTTGTTGGAAAATCACAAAATGTAACACTGAGATGCAAGTGACAAGTTTGATGTCAAAATGAAGTTTCTGAATTCCCCCTCCAACCTCTGAGAAAGATTCAGTGAAGCAAATACAAAATTGCAAAAACGTTGCTGTGCTACTAAAACTGCATTACCAATGAAAGAAAATAATCCCCAAATGTCTGTCCGATCTAAAAAGTGATTCCACAAATGCAAGAGATCAGGCAGATGTTTCTTGGACACAGTGTGGAACTGCTTTAGTTACGGTTTCAGCAAGTCACCCCTAGGCTTTACGTTAATGTCTCTGCTCAGTGATCACGAACCTCTTGTAATTTGGTACATAAAAACGTCCTGCTAGTACCATCAGGGATGGAAGATAGCTCCCCTCATTCAGACCACAGTACAGCAGCAATGTGGGCTTGATTTATCATACCTTTCTTGCAGTTATTTGTATTTGTTCCAGCCAGCAGACTGGCTTTTGTGATGTTCATTTCTAATGTGGGGAGAAGGCCCTGAAGAGAGCGATACAAATTTTATGAGAATGGTTTGCATTTCATCCCAGGGGTTTCTTTGCTGTTTAAGCAAAACATGAGAGAAGAAAGGGAGTGAGGGGAATCATAGAAGCATTTGAGTTAAAAGGAACTTTTAAAGGCCATCTGCTCCAACTCCCCCACACTGAACAGAAACACCTACAGCTGATCAGGTGCTCAGAGCTCCGTCCTGCCTGACCTTGGGTGTCTGTAAGGGACGGGGCACCCACCACCTCTCTGGGCAACCTATGCCAGAGGGCTAGATATCCAATAGTTTTAGATATCCAATCTAAATCTCCTTTCTTTTAGTTAGAAACAGTTTTCCCTTGTTCTATCGCATCAGACTCCGCTAAAGAGTCTGCCCCTTTCTTTCTTATAGCCCCTTTAGGTACTGAGAACCCACTCTCAGGTTTCCCTGGAGCCTTGTGACCCTGAGGCTGCACAGCCCCAGCTCCCAGCCTGTCCTTTTAGAGGCATTCTATCCCTTGGGTCATTTTTGTGGCCCTCTGAACATACTTCAACAGGCGCACATCTCTCCTGTACTGAGGACTCCACATCTCTTCCCTCATCTGATTTCTGTGTCTGTGCAGTGGAGGAGGCACACGGGTTTTGCAGAGGAGGACTGGGGATAAGTTAGGAATTCAGGTCAGAGGTTGATATTCCATTCAGTGGACAAAAGAAGCAGCCAGCCCTCCTCGGGGTGTGTAACATATTTGTAGGCAGGGAGAGAAAAACCCGGAGTGGGAAATTTCACCCAGCCTATGGACACACAGAGAAGAATGCCAATCTCTCGATGCCTTCTGACTCAAGCATGGTCACAGAGACGTCATATTGCATTGTTTCGGGTGGGATTTGAGGCAGACAGAGGGAAGGAGACACTGCCTGAATCGAGCAGGGTGATTGCATGCTGCCAGAGAGCTGCTCTCCTCAGCACAGCTCCTCAGGCCTGTACTTAGCTCAGCTGGATGGCCTGGCCTGAAGCTCCTGCTCTGTTATTATCCAGATGGGGGTATTCAAAGCTGCTCGAAATGTCCGTGATTGTGCAGGCAGTAGGTGGCAATTTGCAGGCGAGGGCCCTGCACTGAGGTTGACAGGACAGCAGGCGACCGGCAGAGGTGGCAGCGGACCTTGGGCAGGCGATGGCTGCATGCTCCCCCTTCTCAACCTCTCAGTTCATCCCTTCTGCATGGGAGATGGCAATGCAGGCTCACTAAACTCGTTTTTGCCTGGCCGTCTTCAAACACATGTGATAGAGGAGACAGTTTATCTCGTCGTGGATGAACTCAGGAGCTTATTCGGTTGAAAATTTTCCCAATTACAGCTATCTAAACATCTACAATGCTCTCTGAGCCATGAGGTCTGGGATATGACCATGGGGCCATCAGCCTGGCAGTTTTCAGGAGCTTTGGTCACCTGGCATGCATGCCCTGCTCGGCTTTAGCTGTGGTCTGTCCTTATTGCCACCCTTCAGATGAGAATCCCCTGTGATTTCTCCATGCCCCTCTGATGCATGCACCTTTCACTTTGATTTTCCCCTCCTGTCATTGGCAGCACAAAGAGCTGCCAAGCATCCAGGCTATGTGATTGCATATTCCCCACATCCCTTCATGATGGATATTAATCTGCTCTGCTGTATTTCACTCTGATTTCCTTCAGTAAACACTACTAAGGAGTGCATGGGAAGATGAAAGGAGACATCCTGCAAAGTCAAGCATGACCCCTGGAAACAGCAGGGGTTCAGGGATGAGTCTGTGCCTACCCCAGAACTATACCCTGAGCCAGGCTGAGAAGTGATGTGTAAGAAGTAAAATTGGGTACAACTGCTCAGGAATCACATTACATTTGACATCCACAACAGAGAAAAATGTAGGTATCTTTGAGAAGGAAAGTAGTTTCCACAACCTCACTGCTGGCTGAGGAAACTGGTGAATGATCAAAACAAACAAGAATCTGTGGAAGTATCTCTAGGAAAACTGCAGAAAAGTCATTGACTTTGCTAATTGTTCCATACCAGATTATCTGTTCCAATTATGTTCTTCCAGAGAAATAAACTGCTTCTACCCCCACCCTGATGGTTATGGAGCAACGGAGTAATTACCTGCGATATTGCACTTGAATAGCAAAGCCACCAACATTATTAAAGCTACAATAAACTATAGGATACAACTGACCTCTGCAGTTCTTCCCACAATATTTGTCTATTTTGCAATTCTGGATCTATGAACTCCTGCTATTCTCTGTCCCTTTGAAATAACAATGTCTGCTCTATACTTTGCTTTTCCACCGCAGATCTCAAAATGCTTCACAAAGGCAAGTATCATTACTATCATTTTATGGATGAGAAATCTGGATGCAGGGAGGTTAACTGCCATTGTGCTACCCTACATTTACTCTTCTTCCAGCAGATCATCTGTCTACGATGCAGGTCAAATTTCTCATTCATTCCTGGATCTCTCTCCCTTCAGTATTACTTCCCTGTTCATCCCAGTAGAATCCAAAAGCCTGTTCAGAGGCTTAAATTTATGTAGAGTTATTGACACTGTGTTCTGCTCTTTGTCTCCCTGAGGTTCCTGGAAAATTCTGCTATTCTTGCCTGCTTTAAAAAGAGCTGAGATAATTTCTTTTTCTATGAGCACAGATTAGAAAAACAGATCTGATTCATGTGTCTCCCAAAGTCTGAGGGAGCCTGACTGTGGGAATCCAGTCCAGACTCCTTGCAGGATAAAGCATGATTATTCATTATTTTAGATTTAGGTTTCTACCTCAGCAATGTGCCTGGCTTCACAGGATGAAGTGGTGGTGTCTCTTCATATTGGATCCTTCTTGCCCATCTTTGCTCAATACTTAGGCTCATGCTAAAAAGTTCAGAGGAAATATATTTTAGACTGCAGCCCAAACCTGACCTTTTTTCACCCAGCACGGCGAGGAAAGAAAATGAATCTTTGCCTTTGAATGATAAACTGTTTAAAAATAGGGCTCATAATGGCCACATTGACAGGCTTTCATTTATGGCAGCTTCGGTATGATGAGGATAGTATATTTCATGGAGCTGGAAGGAGCAACAAGAGAAAAGAGAAGAAGAAAATAACATAATTTCTCTCTGAGGTGTTGCTCCTGGAAAACCAATTACTGGTTCTGTACTTCTGGAGGATGTGAAGCGGTTAGCAAAATATCAAGCAATGGTGCAGAAGATACTTTTGTCACATCTGAATTTCTCTTTGGGAGATTGTGGATAGGACACCAAAGGCAGAATAGGTAGAAGGACATAATTCAGTCAGTCGATCTGCAGATGCTTCTTTGCACAAGAACCTTCACACCCCAAAACCTTTTCTGCAATGTACACTTTGGAGGAAGCAGAGTGAGCTCATCCTCATTAGAAAACCACTAAAATAGCTGTGCAACGACAGATTAAAGGTTCTTCAACTCAAAATCCTGTCTCTGATAGGGTTATAAATAACAGTATGAGAATAGGGCAAATATTTATGCCTCCTTTACAGCTTGCTGAATTTCTACTGGTTTTAGCCTTGCATTATTTTAGTTCCCCTGTTGCAGTCCCCATGCACAGATTCTTCTAGTTGCATATCATGGTACAGTATTGATGTTTGCACCTGAATCTTACATCTAACTATGAGCCACACTGCATACAGTTTTTGCAAACCAAGGTCAAAGGCATTTGCTAACTAGTAGACATGACTATGCAAAGTCTTCAGAGTAATTCTTAAGGACAGAATAATTAGAGGCATGGAAGTAAATGCAAAACAGGATTAAATGTTAAATAGAGAGATACAGAGTTTCAGACTATCTCAGTATCCTTCTTTCATAAGATAATTGATTTTCTAGACAAAGAAAATGCAGTAGATCTAATCTATCTAGATTTCAGTAAAGCATTCGATACGGTGTTGCATGAGAAATTGTTTCATTGGATAATACGGGGTATAGCACAGGCACTGTAAAACAAACAAGGAAACAGCTGAAGGGAAAACAACAACAGGTTTGTTCCAAGGATGAAGTGTCAGCTAAAAGGAGGGGTAGTATGGGGTGTCCTAAAGAGGCTTCCTGGAGGCTAATCTGGCTTAAACTTTCATAAATGCTCTACGTACAAAAAGTGCAGATACTTTTTTGTGAGTACAAACCTGGAAAACCTCAGCAGTGGTTAGACTGCACTTTGAGTACTGCATTCAACTTTCGGCTCCTCACTACAAGACTTCAAAGCCCTTGAGT